CTAATTGTAGCACAAATGTAGTTTAGAAATCTTTAAATTTAGAACTTATGTTTTTATATATAATAAAGTTTCTACTTAAGCATTATTTAATAAAAAAAAAAAAAAAAAAAGTATATAAACTTAAAAGGTATTAATATATTGAAAAATTATAGGCATCTCTTACAGAATATATATAAGTTATATATCTCTCACAACCAAATTCATTTAAGGTAGAGTTAGGGTTTGTGTTAGAATAGTACTTATAGTAAAATTGCTCAAGAAAAAGTTTTTGTTAGGGCACAAAAGATAGTTTCTTATGCAAATATTCAAGAAATAAATGATTTTTGAAAAATGGAAGTTTGTTTTGATCTTCATGATTGTGCTACATTATACTAAATTTTGACAAAATTCTAACTCATCATTGGGCAATTTATAGGAATATGCATCTTCTACAAGAGATGCTTAAAACTACCTTAATATATTTTATAAAATAAAAAGGCTTTATTAACTTTAGTATTTGTAAAAATAATACAATTATAAAATTGTATTATTATATTATTCTGAACAGTTCTAAACTACTCTGAACTATTGTATAATTTTGAACTACCTTTTAGAAAAGAGAAATTTTATTCTTTTTATAATAAATTGATCATGAGAAAAACACAAGATTACAACTTTTTTTATTATTTTCTAATCTTTTTTTTTAAACTTTAATTTCTTTTATACAGCTTTTTATTACTTTAATATTTCTTATAGTCTTTATAAAACTAATAAGAAATATTTCAGTTTCACTATTTCAAATTCAAAACTTATTATATTGTTTACAATTACACTTCTCTTGATATCATCTTATATCTAACCTAAGTAGGATAGGTGAAGTCAATGTCTATTCCTAGTACAAACAGATTGGTCTAGATTAACTTTTTTTTAATTAGAAGGATAGTAGAATTTTACATAGATGCTTGTATACTATTATATAACTTTCATATGTCCAGGCACATACATTTTAAATTGATCATTATAGGCATCACTAATTAGATAAGTACAGTCAGACTTCTCTAAATACACATTGTCGAGACTGACTCTAAGGCTTGCATTTAGGGAGAGGCTGCAATTAAAGAACAGCCAATCAGATCATGGTATAATTAAATTCATATAACTTTATTATTAGCCAATAGTTATTTACTATAGATTACTACTCCCATTCATGTTACACAACTGATCCAATTGATAAAAAAATTTTTTTTATATATAATAATAAGTTTTGCAATATTTTTTTCAAAAACTCAGATAAATTATCCTATCTTTTAATTAGACAAAGTGTTCTAAGTAAACTTAAAGCTTTTTCTCTGCCTTATAACATATTAGCTGAATCTAACAGCTTTCATATTAATTTATTTTGCAAAGTTAGTATATAAAAAGGTATATATGTAAGCTATATTAGTGAAATCTTATATTTGAACAATAAGGTAAAATGAAGTAACTAAGGTAATGATTTAGAAAAAATAAGATGAAGTGTTGTTTTATTGTTTTTTGATTAACTCTTTAAAGAGTTTTAATAAAATCTACATATATTACAGTTTAACTAACTACTTTTTTTATAATAGTATTATAGTCGTTCGAATATAGAAACAAATGATAGATAATCATTAGTAAATTAGTTAATATATATATAATCCAAGCTAATAAAGATCTTTTTACTTTCTTTATAATATTATTTAATGAGCCTAATTTGAGCTTTGGAAATAAATTTCACTTATTTTTTGCAAATTTTAATTTTTTTAAATTTATAATATTCATATAACTGTTTTTTATAATTGCATGATCAGCTTATTTGGAATAGTTCTATCTTAACCTTGAAACTATAGCCAAAATTTTTAAAAATTTGCATTTTGAAGGGGTAGCATTTATAGTATTCTATTAAGTGCTCTATATGCTTGTGACTGAATATTAGTATGCATTTAGAGAGGGTATATATAATGTGTTCATTTTATGAAGAGTTGACTGTAATTACTAAAGAGCAATATCCAAATAAATTTGATTTTAAAAAAATTTCTTATAAGCAGTATTCTATGTTTTACAAAGATTTTTTTAAAATTTAAAAATTGATTACTTTGTGCAGTATGAGATGGCAAGATCACAAGATAAGTAATTTACCTTTTTTTTTGTGAATGATATTTAACTAATAATTTCTTTATATAACTAAGTTTATTTAATTTTAAATATGTGGATAATTATATTGTTTGTTCAGTTTTGATTGTTCATTAATTTATGTTTTGTTAGTTTGTCTTTTTAGTCTAAAAAAAATTGTTAAATTTATTTAGTTTGAAATTTTTTATTATACAGTTAATTAGCTAATCCAAAAAAGGCTTTAATGTTCACTTGTTTAAAAGATGAATTTTGAAGTTTCCTTATTTTTTTTTGTAGATTTGACAAAGCTTGGTCATAATTTGACTAGGCTGCCTTATCAATATCTTGTTGTATAAAGTAGTATTCAAGCACTTTTATGGCACTTAGTGCTTTGCAATGAGTAATTTGGTATATTTCTGTACTATCATCCTCCTTTCTATCACTTTCATTCTCTTCCTCTTTGGTATCTTTAGTCTTTTCAGGTTTCAGATTGGTAAAAAGAGCCAAAATCTTCTCATTATTTAATATTTTATTTGTTTCTTTTTCTTCTGGATAATTGACATATTCTTCAAAATTCATTATGTTTTGAAAATGAAGTGCTTCGATGTCAGCATACATTTCTTTCATCAATTTATTATTATCATCATTATTATTATCAAGGACAAGCTTTTCATCATTTTGTGTAATTAGAAGAATTTTTATATGTCTAAAGCAATTATTTACTGTTTCTAATGATACTTCTCTCTATGCTTAAACAATAAATGTTATAGCATCAAGAATATTTAATTTGTTATCCTTTCCAGATTCATACTGATCAAGAAGCTATTTTATAAAGTAACTTCGATATCAATGCTTAAAGGACATAATAATGCCAGCATCTATAGGTTAAATACGAGATGTTGTGTTTGGAGTAGGGATGTAAGCCAAACCTAGCAGTTTGGGACTTAGTAGATTCCCAAATGATTTTACAATTGTGTAGTAACTCAAATAGCACAGAATAATATTTTACATGATCTTATTATAATCTGCGTTACAGTGTTAAATATGTATTGAGCGATATGTATCTTTAAAAAAAAGCATAGTAAATTTATTTATATTAAAATTTTTACAAGAAAACAAATAAGAAGAGATGTTAAACGAAGCAAAAAATATTCTGCGTACCAAAACATGCACAAAGAAATAAAGGAATATGCAAAAAAAAAAAAAGAAATGTGCAAATAAAAAAAAATGCGCAAACAAAGAAAAATATGCAACAAAAAAAATACTCAACAAAAAAGTGTAAAAAAAAAAAAATGCATCAAAAAAGCAAGTTACAAAGTGCAAAAAAAAAAAAAATTGTAATTTTTTATCACTACAACAAATTTGCAGACCGGAATTCACTTTCTACGATAGTTGAAGGTTCAAAATCCATATTACCACTTCCCTGAGTTATGACTGTATGAGATATTTCTTTAACATTATCTTGTTCATCAAAATTTGTATTTGATAAATTAACTATCGATTTAATTTCAAGATTATCGTAATTTAAAAATTGAAAAGATTCTAAAATATCATTTAATTCAAAAATTTCATTATTTTCTATTGTCACATAGGTTGTTTAAGTTAATGCACTATCACAAAGTTCACTTTCTGATAACTCTTTTTTATAAAATTTAAGTTCATTCTTGAGATTGGAGATGTAAAAAGAATGAATTTGAGCCATGCTTTCTAACCATTCAGATGATAACTGTGATCAGTATGTACTATATAGCCACCTTAAAATAGAAAAATTGTATTTACAACTTGCTTGTGAAGGCATTATTGCAAAAATAATTTGGGCAAAATTTTGAAGGTTAGAATATTTGTCTTCAATTATGCCCCATTACAAACTAGGTAATTTGGAAAAATCATAATCAAATTCAAATAGATAGTCTTTATTGTTATAATGAATAAATTGTGTAGTCATTTGGTGACATGCAGCTTCATCATTATAAATGCTTTTATAGAACTTAACAGCAATTTCACAAATTTGTTAAAACATTTCTTTTTGTAAGCCAAGACCTATATATTAAATTATTAATTTTAAAAAATAAGCATATTACTTTATATTATTGTATTGTATATGCTGTGTCTCAAAATAACCAATGCATCTTAGATAATTGTCAGATGATAGGCAAATTTTTATCTGAAGCTTAATTCTAATTGGATCAATTACAATTTTACGCAAATATTATATTGAGACATGACATATATATAATTATATAAGTACATAAAAGTAAAAACTGTAACTTATTTAATAACTTATTAAATATAGTTGCAAGTTTTTATTCTTATATACTTAAATAATATTATCTTCGATAAAACTAGTTTCAAACTTGAAATACCTCTATAATCTGAGTGCAAAAAATATGCAAGTAAATATGGTTCAATATCAAATTCTGCATAACATTTGTTAAATATAGCTATGGCTGGTTCACAAATATTATTATTCATAAGGATTCTGTTAATAGCTGCTGCTAACTTTACAATATTGATAAAACAATCTGCAAGATTTGCTGTACGAGCTTCTAGATTATTTATTGCCTCTTTAATAGGTTGAATAATAGATGAAATTCAATGACAGTTGATGTAAAATATATCATCATTATCATTTAAAATTGAAATAACTGTTTTACTGATTATATCTCAGTTAGTTTCTAAAATCTAAAAAAAAAATAAACATTAATAAATATTAAATATATAAAAATAATATAATTACTAAACTAAGTATATAACTTATTAAATGCAGGCTTTAATCTTACGATCAAAGATGTAGTTCCAAAAATAGAAGCTCATCTTGTTTTAATATATGTTTCTAAACCACCATCATCTAATTTCATATTATTGATAATATCATAAAGAAATCGACATGCTTTGTGTGACTTTTTAAAGAATTGAATAACCTGATTAACTTGTTTCAAGACACTATTAACAGATGGAATTTTGATGATGTCACTTGCAATAAGATTTAATGCATAAGCAACACATCTGATATTTCAAATATGCAAATAATTATATGCAGTAATTTCATAAGCAACACAAGCATTGCTTCTATTATCTGTTACACAAGCTATGAATTTATTCATGCCAACTTTATTAACAATATTGAAAATTTGAGAAGCAAGAAATTCTCCAGTTTATGTTGCATTTGAAAAATCCAAAATAGTATACAAATATTCTTTTCTATCAGGTGTAGAAATAATGAAATTATATAATGACTCATTTGTTGGATTTGACCATCCATCAAGAGCTATTTATAATTAATACAATTATATTAAAATATTAAATTATTATACTTATAATAAGAATTTTCCAACTCTTCTTGACGATCCCTTACACTAACTTTTTTCCAAAAGTCTGACCTATGAAAACTATATACAGACATCCTCCCATATAATCACACAGTTGGGCACATAGTAATTTTTTTAAAAAATGTGCTTATAAAGGAGTTATGCTTATATGGAGGG